GTTAGGGAGAATGTTGTTGGTTTATGTTTTATTGCCCAGGACATAACTATGCAGAAGAGTATTATGGACAAGTTCACCCGAATTCAAGGTGATTACAGAGCTATTATACAAAATCCTAACCCGTTGATCCCTCCAATATTTGGCACTGATGAATTTGGCTGGTGTTCGGAGTGGAATTCTGCAATGACAAAATTATCAGGCTGGAGTAGAGAGGATGTTATTAATAAAATGCTTTTGGGGGAGGTTTTTGGGACACATACAGCCTGCTGCCGTCTTAAGAATCAAGAAGCTTTTGTAAATCTTAGTATTGCTCTCAACAAGGTTGTAACAGGTCAAGAATCTGAAAAAGTTCCATTCGGTTTTTTATCAAGGAGTGGGAAGTACGTGGAGTGCCTGCTATGTGTGAGCAAAAAGATGGATGGGGAAGATGCAGTAACTGGTGTCTTTTGCTTCCTGCAACTTGCAAGTCAAGAGCTACAACAAGCACTGCATGTTCAACGCTTATCAGAGCAAGTTGCAGTTAAGAGATCGAAAGTCTTAGCTTACATAAGACAGCAAGCTAATAATCCTCTTTCTGGGATTATATTTTCGCGGAAGATGATAGAAGGAACTGACCTTGATGAAGAGCAGAAAAAACTCTTAAGTACTAGTTCTCATTGTCAGCATCAGCTCAGCAAAATTCTTGATGACACAGATCTTGATAGCATCATTGATGGGTAAAGTTTATTTCAACTCCAATAAATTACTTTTGTGCTTTTATGGCATTAAGCCATTTTTTTTTCGTGCTTTATCTGCTCTATGCCCTTGTCCGTAATCTGTGATTTATTGGACAAAATATTGCAGAATATCGACATTTTAGGTGCATGTATCTAATACTTGGAAGAAATCAAAAGTGTGTTAGAGTGGTTTTTCCTTAATTTTTTCTGAGCTTTCCCATAAAAATCTACCGAAAAATAGAATGATGTGTTCATTCAATGTATTAGATAGGTGTCATTTTTAAGGAAGATTTACTGGTTTGAATTTCGATTGTTCTCTGATTCGTTTGGTCGAAGGCTCTCTACACTTTTGTTTGATCATGTACTTCCCTCCTGCTTTTCTGTTAAATCAATTGTTCTGAACTGCATGATATGCTTTCAGGTCATCGTGATAAATTGAACTTTTTATGTATTATTTCTAAAGAAGTAGATTTTATAATTTGGAAGGGCATTGCATCCTCTGGATTGTTTTCTTTTATTATCATTTAATGATAATACTTTATAAACTTAAGCAAGTTTGCTCTTGCTCATCAGGTACATGGATCTGGAAATGGTGGAATTTAAGTTAGATGATGTATTGATAGCTTCCATCAGCCAAATTATGGTAAAGAGCAATGGAAAGGGTATTATGATAGTTGACAATTTGGACAAAAAAATATCAGCCGAAACACTTTATGGAGACGGTCTAAGGCTTCAACAAGTACTGGCAGATTTCTTGTTAATATCAGTTAATTTTACACCAAGCGGAGGCCAGCTTGGTGTTGCAGCCAACTTGACTAAAGATTCTTTAGGTGAATCTGTTCAGCTTGCCCATCTGGTATTCAGGTACGAGCCAAACATGAACCTACAATATTTTTTGGAGGTTATTCTAGATTATATAAGTTTCCTGGAATGCTTAATTTTTCATTCGACTAATGCAGTTTGCAACATACATGATATATAAAGCATAAATGGGGGCTTTTGTTCCCTTCTCTTGGTT